TAAACCACAACCAGCTACCACTTCAAACCCATCAGAATGACTATTAACAAACAAAACCAGAAAATAATAAATGTTGATGACGACGTGGAGAAATGGGAAGCCCCGTGCACTGCTGCTGGGAATGTCAAATGGCACAGCCTGTGGAAAATAGCTTGGGGGTTCCTCAAAAGTCAGACATAGGGACACCTGGGTGGCAGAGTCGGTGGAGCATCTGCCTTCGGCTCAGGTCATGATCCCGGGGTCCTGGGATCAAGTCCCATGTCAGGCTCCTTGCTCAGCGGGGAGCCTGCTTCTCCCTCTGCCTGCCACTCCCCCTGCTTGTGCTCTCTCTCTCTCTCTGACAAATAAATAAATAAAATCTTTAAAAAAAAAGTCAGACATAGATTACCGTGGCATCCAGCAATTCCACTTCCTAGGTATCAACCCAAAAGCGCCCTGTAGGAGTTCTTTATATGTTCTAGATATCAATCTCTTACCAGATAGATGATTTGCAAATATTTTCTCCCAGTCTGTGGGTTGTCTTTTCACTCTCTTGATAGTGTCCTTCGATGTGTACCAAAGTTTAAAATTTTGATCAAGTCCAATTTGTCTATTTTTTTTTTCTTTTGTTGCTGTGCTTTTGGTGGTCATACTTGAGAAGTCATTGCCTGATCCTGGGTCGTGGAGATTTTCACCCATGTTTTCTTCTACCAGTTTTATAATTTTAGTTATATGTGTTTCTGGCATTTCTCCCCCTCAGATTCATATCTGTGGTACCCCTTAGAGCCTCATCTCCAGCAGGGCCCCTCGATGGCAGAGAGTCCACCTTCTTGTACATGGTATACAGTAGGCATTTAACTCATGTTTGTGGGATATGTGTTGTGCGGGGCTTGTGTCCCCTGCCCAGACTTGCCCTGCCACCAACTCCAGACCCCCAAGGACCGCACCTCTCTCTTGCTCACTACTGCAAGGCCTGGGGGGCTCTGTATTGCTTCAGGGCACATGTCTTCAGTCCCAGCTCCTGGGAAACGGGGGTCACAAGCTGCCAAGGACAAGGCAAGCACAGAGATGGCTGTGGGGTGGCTCCAGGGACGCCACAGGGGAAGTTTCAGCTAGAAGCCACCTTCAAGCTGCACCTTGAAGACTGAATAAGGTTTCAGCAGGCAAAGATCATTTGTGGTGGGGGCAGAGCTGGTCAGCTGGAGAGCCCATGGGTAGATGGGACTGGCCACAGGCTGCGTGTGTGGGGAGCAGAGAATGGGGGCAGAACTGGGAGTAAGAATGAGGACCTTTCAGGGATGTAAGTAGCTCTTAAAGGCAGCACTTTGGTCAGGGTTCAGTCAAGCCCCACTATGGCCTACAGCTGGTAAGGCTGGTGGTAAGGAGACAAGTTTTAAGCCATCATCCTTGCTGAGTATCTTGGAGTGAGTCACTGGGCCTCTCTGGGCTCTAGTTCTTGTTGGGTTGGGTGGTGGGGAAGGGGTGGGGAAGTGGGAGGAAAGGGAGAAACAGATGTTCATCTGCTCTCGAGGAGTGTCATTGAGGGGCTGGGAAAGCAGAACTTGGGGTGAGGCTGAGAGACACACAGAAGGCTTTCTGGGGCATGACACCAAGGGAAGGTATTCCTGGGTGCAGTCCCTGCTGGGAACGTGGGCTCCCGGCTCCCTGCTGCTGGCTGCACTAGGAGTCCTTGGCAGCCTGGCCGTCTCACTGGGTGGGCCAGCAGAGCATGTGGGGACCCAGGGCTGGACTCTCAGCAGACTCTGAGGCTGAGGTACCCTGAGGTGCCCTGGGAGGCCCTTGTGTACCCAACCAGCGCACAAGGTGTACATCACCTTCTTAGGCACCAGGACCAACATAAAGCCTGCTATGGCCTTCCTGTTCTGGCTTCTCCAGCTGGTGTTAGCCACCTCAACAGGTAAGCTACGCTGGCCTCACCCATCTCGCAGGGCCTGGCCTCGGGGAGTCCAGCCCTCCATTGGCCCCGGGCAGACTGGACTGGGCCTGGTCACAGGTTTGTCCACTGAGGTCAAAGGAGGGCTCGGGGAGGCAGTGGCTGGGAGGGGCCCCCCGAGGGGCTGCTCCAGGGGTGCCTTGCTGGGGGCAGGGCAGGGTTTGGGGGCTCATCTGGGGGCAGATCTGAGGGCTCTGCCATGACACGAGGTCTTCGTCACTCTCCTCTCTGTCTTGCCTCACCCTTAGGCCTGTCCTCATGGAGCGTCTCCAGTCCCCAGGATGTGAAGGGCGTGGAGGGGTCCTGCCTCATCATCCCCTGTGTCTTCAGCTTCCCAGCTGACGTGGAAGTGACTCACGGCATCACAGCCATCTGGTACTACGACTACTCAGGCAAGCGGCTGGTGGTAAGCCACACGGAGAACCCGGAGCTGGTGGACGCACACTTTCGTGGCCGTGCCCAGTTCTTGGGGCACAGAGAGCACAAGATGTGCAGCTTGCTGCTGAAGGAACTGCAGCCTGAGGATTCGGGCTCCTACAACTTCCGTTTTGAGATTAGTGAAGGCAATCGCTGGTCAGATGTCAAAGGCACTCTGGTCACAGTGACAGGTGAGGGGCAGGGTGAGCTGGCTACTGCCTGGAAGGGTTTCCCAAGCTGCTCCTGGCCCCATTGGCTCACAGCCCCGGTCCTCAGCCCAACCCCAGCCCCGGCCTAGCCTCAGCCCTGCATCTCCTTTGCGTTCACCCTAAGTGGAGCTGGGGGTAGAAAGCAGTCTCTCCTTCTTCTTGAAGGACGCTGCCCAGGTCTCACCCCTCAGCTGGGCTTTCTAGGGCAGGAGGCCTCATGTGTGGTGAAGGGGAGTCCTGAGCCTCTGGTCGTTGTCTTCAGAGACGCCCAAGACTCCCACCATTGCCCCGCTGGCGGACCTTCGTGAGGGCATGGAGGCCTCCTTCAACTGCTCCACTCCCTATGCGTGCCCAGAAGAGCACATCAGCCTGCAGTGGCAAGGCCAGGACCTGAAGCGCTCGGTCACCTCCAGCTTCCAGGATCTCAGGCCCACAGGCATCAGCCACCTGGGGATCCTCCATATGGCCCTGTCCTGGCAGGACCACGGCCGGACCCTGCACTGTGAACTCTCAGTGGCCAAGCAAAAGACTCAGAGCGAGATTCTCCTCCAAGTGCAGTGTGAGTGTGCTGGGGGCCGCGCCCTTGGGACTGAGCACACATCTGTGGCTCCCCAGCGGAAACCAATCTCTTCTGCAGCCCGTAGAAACAGAGCCCTCGCCCCTGAGGCAGAGCCAGGCGCACTTGGACCTCCAGGGTCAGGCAGGGGGAGCGACACTGCAAAGCCCTAAAAGCCACATTTAATGGCTCACTTCTACCTCTCGTCCCTGAGGCCAGGTTGGGCAGAGAAGGGGAGGCACAAAAAGCCAGAGAACTGGGGGCCAGGGAGTGAGGCTCCTGGGACTTAGCCCAGCTCTGGAGGCTGCTGTGTGTGGGAGGAGGAGGGTTCACCCCTTTCCTGCCTAAGGCTACTCATGGTGATCCTGACAAAGAAGAGGTGGAAGGAAGCCTGAGTTTCTACTTGATTAGGCAACTTCACATCACAGTAAAACATGGCAGCCTGTTCTAGGGCAACTGCTGTTCACAGGCATCAGGCCGCCTGGATCCACCCCTCGCTTGTTGGGCAAGTTACTTGCCCATCATGTCTTCCTCTGCTAAGGAGACTCGTAGGTCTCGAGGAACTATTATGGAAATTGAAGGAGTGCTTGGCACCTACTGAGCACTCTAAAATATTAGCTTATCTTATTTTCATATTTACCTAGATTAAGCACTTGAAAGTATTAGCTTTTATGAGCCTATTTACATAGCCAGAGGCTTTGGAACAAGATTTCTAGAAATGCAGGTGTTCTGTATGCACCTTCCTTACAAATGGGCTAACCATTCTCAGAGCTCATTTGACTCTGCCTTTGGTCCCCTCCATGAAGTGTTTGGTTTCTTGCCAACAGCTACCCACAAGCCACCTAAGCAGGCAGGATGGTGCTCATGATTCCCAAATAGAGCAGAGGGCGATGGCCAGTGTCACGAGGCAGAAAGCCATAGAAGTCGGCATTAGGCTGAACGCTAGACCGAGCACTGCATTATCAGGCCCTCAGTGGAGAAGGAAGGCATCAGGACCTCCTCGAGAGGTGGGGGGCAGTGCCTGTCCTGACCGGGGAAGTGACGGGCCTGATGATTACCTGGGTGGACTTCCTTTTTTTTTAAAGATTTTATTTATTTATTTGACAGAGAGAGACACAGTGAGAGAGGGAACACAAGCAGGGGGAGTGGGAGAGGGAGAAGCAGGCT